AGTTCCAAGAGTCTTGTGATGAGAAATGTTGATAAAATGAGAGGGCAAATTTTGGGGTACAACAGGCCTAAGTAACATACTCCCCCTATTACTTCACAACACCACAAATTAAACCCAATCTCATATTTAGCTTAATAATAAAATAATATATCAACTTAATTCCACCTAATTAAATCTGATTATTTATCATGCCACCAAATAAAATAATTCCGGCTTCGACGATAAAAATTCAAATTAATATAAAATGTTCAAAAATATTTAATTAAATAAATAATTAAATATCAGGGCGTTACAACTCTCCCCCACTTAGAATATTTTCGTCCTCGAAAATAAAAGTTTACCTGGTTCAAATAACTCGGGATATGAGTCTCGCATCTTGCTCTCCAACTCCCAGGTCATACTTTCTCCAGCAGCTCCTAACCAGACAACTTTCACCAATGCAATCTCCTTTCCTCTTAGAATCTTCATCTTGCGATCCGCGACTCGCACATGCATCGTCTCCACCGTGAGATTATCCTGTACTTGTGCACATCGTCCATCGGAATCAAATGAGACAGATCGGGAATGTACTTCTAGAGTCGCGATACATGAAACACATCGTGCAAATTAGCAAGATTTGGAGGTAACGCCACTCTGTAAGTAACTTTCCCAACTTGATCTGATATCTGATATGGACCAATAAAATAAGGAGTGAGCTTCTTAGACTTCAGAGCTCGCCCAACACCAGTCATAGGCGTGACTCTAAAAAACACATGATCACCAGCTTGGAATTCCAAATCTGTCCTTCTCTTGTCATGTTAACTTTTTTGTCTACTTTGAGAAACCTTCATCTTCTCTCGGATAAGCTTCACTTTCTCAGTAGTATCTCGAACAATCTCAGATCCAAGTACCACACTTTCACCAGATTCATGCCAACACAACTGAGTTCTACACCTACGACCATACAGAGCCTCAAAAGGTGCCATCTCAATACTCGAATGGTAACTGTTATTGTAAGTGAACTCAAACAACGGAAGATAAGTATCCCACGAACCTCCCTGCTCAAGAACACAGGATCTCAACAAATCCTCCAATGACTGAATCGTCCTCTCGGTCTGACCATTCGTCTGAGGATGAAACACCGTACTCAACCTCAACTTAGATCCCAACACCTCTTGCAAACTTTTCCAGAAATCAGAAGTAAACCTCGTATCCGACACAATACACAAAGGAACACCATGCAACTTCACAATTACTCTGATGTAAATCTCTGCCAACTTTGAAATTGGATATGTGATATTAATAGGTATAAAATGTGCCAACTTCGTAAGCCTATCAACAATCACCCATATCTAATCATGCCCTCTCAAGATACTAGGTAATACCGTTACAAAGTCCATCGAAATGCTATCCCATTTCCATTCTGGAATCTCTAACGGTTGCATCAACCCCACGGGCTTCTGATGCTCAATCTTTGACTTCAGACAAGTCAAACAAGCATACACAAACTGTGCCACATCACGCTTCATACCAGGCCACCAAAATAAACCTTTCAAATCTTGATACATTTTAGTAGCTCCTGGATGAATACTCAAACTACTTCTATGACTTTCCTCAAGAATCACTTTCTTAATCTCTTCATCATCAGGAATGCAAATACGATCTCAGAAACTCAACACACCTTGCACATCTATCTTGAAATCACCATTCTCAGATCGATCGATTCCATCATCATATCTACCAAATTCACATCTAGCTTTTGAGCCTTGCTGATATTGTTGAGGAAGTCATTATTAATCTTTAACATTCCCAACATAACACTCTGCGGTGTCACTTCACAAACCAAACTCAAATCTCGAAATTGCTCAATCAACTCCAACTCTTTAACCATCATTACCGACATGTGCAAAGTCTTTAGGCTTAAAGCATCAGCCACAACATTATCTTTTCCTGGATGATAATTCAAACTGAAATCATAATCCTTCGGCAATTCTAACCACCTTCACTGCCTCATATTCAACTCTTTCTGATCAAAAAGATACTTCAAACTCTTATGGTCACTAAACACTTCGAATCTAGAACCATAAAGATAATGCTTCCAGATTTTCAACACAAAGACAACTGTAGCCAATTCTAAATCATGTGTAGGTTAATTCTATTCATGAGTCCTCAATTGCCTCGACACATAAGCAACCACCTTACTATTATGCATGAGTGCACCACCTAACCCCATCAGACAAGCATCACAATACACAACAAAAGGTTCTCCCGGAATAGGCAAAGTCAAAACCGGAGCCGACGTCAACCTCTTTTTCAACTCGGTAAAACTTTCTTCACATCGACTATCCCACACAAAGGCTTTACCCTTACAAGTCAACTTGGTCAACAGAAGTGCCAACTTATAAAAACCTTTGATAAATCGTCTATAGTAACCAGCTAATCCCAAGAAACTTCTAATCTCGGTAATCGACTTTAAAGCTTCCCATTGCAATACATCATCCACTTTAGAAGGATCCACGACAATGACACTACCAGAAATGACATGACCAAGGAAACTGACCTCATGCAACCAAAATTCACACTTGGACAACTTCACATACAACTTCTTCTCTTTCAAGACTTGCAATACAACTCTTAGGTGATCTTCATGTTCTTCTTCCGATTTAGAGTAAATCAGAATGTCATCAATGAATACCACCACAAACCGATCCAAATAAGTATGAAAGATACGATTCATGTACTCCATGAATACTCCCAGCGCACTAGTAACACCGAAAGGCATCACCGAATACTCGTAGTGTCTATACCGAGTTCTGAATGTGATCTTCTGAATATCATCTTCTTTCACTCTGATTAGGTGATATCCTGACGTTAAATCAATCTTAGAAAACACACTTGCACCCACCAATTGATCCATCAAGTCATCAATTCTCGAAAGCGGATACTTGTTCTTAATTGTCACTTTATTCAATTGTCTATAATCGACACAAAGTCTCATACTTCCATCTTTCTTCTTTACTAACAACACGGGCGCTCTCCACGATGATACGCTTGGTCTTACAAACTTTTTCTCAAGCAATTCTTCTAACTGCTTCTTCAATTCAGACAATTCAGATGCAGACATCCTGTACGGTGCCATAGAAACAGGTCTGGTACCAGGTACAAGATTAATCGCAAACTCAACTTCTATTTCTGGCGGTACGTCAGGAATTTCATCAGGAAACACTTCAGGAAATTCTCGCACCACCTACAATTCATCAATCCTAACTTGGTTCTCAATAGATAGCGATGCCATCAACGAGAACATATGCGCTTCGTCTTGCATCAATTACCGTAACTATTTACCAGTCAATAAACCAACTTCTTCCTCTTCAGAAGTAGAAAACCTCAAAGATTTGTTATAGCAATTGATATGAACATAGTTATACTCTAACCAATTCATACCCAAGATCACATCTAACCCGCTTAACAGCAAACAAATCAAATCAACATCAAAGTCTTTGTCGAAGATCGATAAAGGACAATTCAAACACACACGAGAAGTAGTCACCGATCCCTTAGCCGGAACTGTGTACTTGAAGAATGATGTGTTTTCTCTTTATATATTGGGACACTTGTAACAACCAATTATTCTTCGAGCGTAGGATGCAGTTATTCGTTGGATGTATATTGGACCTGGATCTTCTGCGCTCTTTCTTAGGATAACACTCTTTCTATGCGAACGAACTAGTGAACTATTTCCTTATCTGACTCGTGCTCTCAAGCCCTTGTCTATGCTTTATAGTGTGAGGGCTTTGTCGTATTTGTCCTTTTGCGCATACTATATCTCGACTTGATTGGAAATCAAAGAGGTAACACCGATGTTCTTGGGAATCCGCTTTTTAAACGTGTCTTATGATATTGCTGACCTTTTATAAGTTCTACCATTATGATATTTGGAAACAGAAATACATGAGTGTTTCTTGAGGTGATCTGAGACGTTGGTAGTGTTTAATATCTTTCTTTGGCAAGTCACCATGTAATCTCTTAAAAGTTAGCTATGCAGTTTTTTGAGACGTTACTTTTATTTTTTATTTTGTCATACCTATTTCAATATTGTACCGTCTTTATAACTACGAGAAGTGGTGTTTATGATGAGTCAAAATCGAAAAAAGATATTTCTACTTCTTGAGTTGATCCAATTATTTCTACACCTGCTTTTACCTTCACTTGTGAAGGTGATTTTGACATAACTTTTTTAAATGTAATTCCTTTTTCGGATTGGAGTGTAATGATTTTTAAATTAGACATAAAGAATTTGTAGTGAGTACGACGAAAAACAAAATTAAAATTATTCATTAAAAAAATTATATTTATTTTAACTCTTTTTAATTTATTAAATTCAATCCCAATAATCTTATTTATACAAAGAGAAACCATATAAATCAAGTTAACAAACACTTTTATTGTAAGTTACGGGCTAAAGGTATATCTTAATAATGTTTTGTGATTTGATTTTTTAATATAATGCTTTTTAAAAGGTACATCTTAACAAACACTTTTATTGTAAAGTTACGGGTTAAAGGTACATCTATAAATCAATTTTATTATTTTGTGATTTGATTTTTTAATATAATATTTTTTAGTTTTTCATCCTCACTAAACATATTAAATGATGTGGCAGGGAAAAAATCGCTCTAATGGTGAGATAATATTAACTATTTTTAATAAATTTTTAAAAATGATGACCATAGGATATATATATATATATATATATATATATATATATATATATATATATATATATATATATATATATATATATATATATATATATATATATATATATATATATATATATATATATAAAATTAAAATAAAAGAAATCAAAACTCACTCAAATAATTGGAATTATAGTATCTTTAACTCAAATAGTTACAATTGAAGATCAATATACACTAAGAAGTAAGAGAGCAAAGATAATCAACACTTATTTTTCATAAATATTTATAATAGCCATCGACACAATGGACATTTATTTTTTATAAATATTCATAATAGACGTCGGCACAATGGACAAGTGTGAGTTGATATCGATTAATGCATTGTTGAATCCATGAGAGAATACAATTTTTATGAAAAATATGAGAGCATTTTGTTCGAACAAGTTCTGACTTAGTACAAAACTCTTCCAAACAAATAGAACATTGTCCAATTGAGTCAGAAAAAAGATAACAATTTTCGAATTTCTCCATCAAATCAACAATTTGTTGGGCTTGACCATAATCATCTTGATTTCTAAGATCTTCTTCCTCCTCTTCAATTGATGTAATGGCAAAAAGGTGCATATTCATCTCTAATATGTCATGTTCTTCACCAAAGTGTGCAACCATTTGTCTAGCACATTCTTCCATATTTTGTAGAATTGCATCTAATATATCAATCGGCACAAAAGAAAATTTATCATACAAGACACTAGTATGATCTCCTTCCATACAATTACATAAGATTTCAATAGGAATCGTCACTGCTTCTCTAATTGTAGTTGTAAAGTCGGATAGAGAGGTCGTGACATTGGATTGAAAAGGTAAATTAGCGTGGTTGAACTCAAAATCAATGAAGAAATATTTTCTAAAACTATGAATATTATGTGTAGATTCGATTGGTTCGCAAGTCGGATGCGCACGAAAGTTGAAGAAAGTTTCCATAGATATACTAACAATGAAGACAAAGTGTTTTTGACAAACCACTTAGAAGAAAGTAGAATATAAACTTCACTAATTTTTGATTTAAGATCTCGATTCAATTTGTTTGATATAAATTATTTCTATATATATATATATATATATATATATATATATATATATATATATATATATATATATATATATATATATATATATATATATATATATATATATATATATATATATATATATATATATATATATATATATATATATATATATATATATATATATATATATATAAAGCTAGATCTCTAGTTTTTATATCTAATATTGAATTAGATTTAAGGATCCAATTATTGATCTTATTTAGATTTATTGTTAAGAAAATTTATTTTAATTTTCTTAGTACACATCGTTCCGTATATATAATCAAAGTTAGATTTTCATTATTTAAATTCTTATCTTGTTTTGATACTAGTAAAAAGATATTTTTCTATTTAATTAAGCCTAAATAATTAGACATATACTACCTATAAAGATTGGACAAGGAAAGAAAACAAATTATTTCAGACAATTTAGTTTTTTAAGTTTAAATATTTATTAAAAACTTTCTCTCTTTGCGAAAGATCCTCCCAAACAAATCTTTTTTTTGGTGGCAATTCCCAAAAAAAATTTATGAAATTATGAAAAAAATTAATTAAAAAAAAACTCTCTTAGTCAAAGAAAAAACTAATTAAGAAATTTGTCCTTACTTTTTGAATGTGCTCCTTACTTTGAATTTTTTTTAACAATAACCATGTATTAAAAAAAAATCGTAAATAATCGCGTTTCGGAAAAAATTACGCAAATAACCATGTTTCAGATGACTCCACAAAGGAGGAGCCATCTGAATTGGCGCCTCCACCCCTACTTTTGTCCTAGGCGCCATCTCGCTTGGCGCCTCCTTTCACTTTTAGCCAAGTGAGATGGCGCATGCTCCTTAAAAGTGAGAGGAGGCGCCATCTCACTTGGCTCCTAGGGCAAAACTAGGGCAAAATGCTGTTTTATAAATAATTCGTCCGTTTCTCTGAAATTTTGCACACTTTCTCGCACTGTATTTTTATTTTTTACTCTGTTATTTGCCTCATGACGTCGCCTATGATTTTTAGCAGAGATGGTTACGTTATCTTCTCCGCCACGAAACCTGCGATGAAAATGAAATTCTGGCACATTCACTCCATGGAGCGTCTGAAGCGGGAGTTGATGCAATGGCTAGATGGAGACATTGCAGAGGGGGGGGGGGGGAATTTGAAGGATCCAGCGAAAATGAACAACAACCTCACATGCGACAAGAAGACCTAATGTATGGTTGGAGGAAGTCAAAACAGACAGCGATGTAATGTTGATGATGCATGGGTCAGATGAAATTGTGTTAACAGTTGTAATTTCGTAGACGAAATATCGTTAATTTTTCTTGTACGCGTTTTATTAATTGTAGCAAAATCTGTTAACGGAAAACCCTAATGTTTACAACACAATTAAGGAAAGATTTTATGTATTACAATTTTTATGTGGTCGAGGCAGACGCCCGATTCGGAAAATTTTTGCGATTGTGTCTGACCTGACGGCATAAACCGCACTTTCTTTCCAACTTGTCAAGATCGTCCATTTCTGTTGTGATGCGCTTACTTTTGGGACGACCCTTCTTGTTCCTTCGCATTTGGTCATTGTGCCACACTATTTCACCGTCGTATGCAGGCCAATAATCTGGTTTTGTTACCAAAGGAAAGTTGTTGTTGTAAACGTTGAGCAACGTTTCAGATTTGTAAATGTTTGACAAAAGTTGCAGCGCGTCTTGATGGGTATGAGAACAAGCGGCAATGACATGAGAGCAAGGCATACGAAATGCTTGAAACCTGCCACAATCGCACCAACGAGAAGGTAGCATGACCCTGTATTCTTGTCTTGGCAGGCCTTCGTTGTGGTCGATTGTCTCTTTCACAATGAAGTTGTGGCTGTATCGGTTAAACCGTATAACCATATGAGTGTTGGCTTTAGAACTTTTAGCCTTAATGTATTTCATGCAGCTTTCACTCCATAGTTGTCCAGAGTGCAACACCGCATTCCATATTTCACCTCTTTTGGCAAATAACGCAGCCATCCTAAAATACGTAGATTTTACCAAGGCAGTGATTGGGAGGTTTCGTATGCCTTTGAATACCCCATTCATTGATTCAATAATATTCGTTGTCATATGCCCCCATCTTTGGCCATTGTCGTATGACCTAGTCCATTTTTCCACTGGAATATTGTCGATCCACCTACCGGCTTCCGGATTTGACAAACGGATCTCGTTGTGGTAATATTTGAATGTGGGTTGTATCAACGCATATCTCGCATTCATAACCGCTTTCCTCAATGTTTTGTCCTTGATCTCCCTCGTGAAATTCTGGACGATATGCCTAACGCAATAGACATGCGTAGAAGGAGGGTCGTGCCAACCGTTTGCAGGATTATTATAGGCACTTTCAATGGAGGCATGTCTGTCCGAGATCAAACAGAGATCTGGTTGAGGAGCCACGTGTGTCCATAGATTTTTCAGAAAAAAGCTCCAAGCACCAGCGGTCTCCCCCTCGACAAGGGCAAAGGCAATGGGGAAAATGTTGTTGTTGCCATCTTGTGCAACTGCCATCAGTAGCGTGCCTTTGTACTTCCCATACAACCAAGTCCCATCAATTTGTATAATTGGTTTGCATGATGCAAACCCTGTGATGCATGGTTGAAATGCCCAAAACACTCGACTGAATATTCCGTTGCCATTTAGTAGACTACCATCTTGGGCGTATGCTGGCACTATTTCCAGAACGTAAACACTACCTGGAGAATACGTCTTGAGTGCATTCAGGTAGCGGGGAAGTTCTTGGTATGACTCCTCCCAGTTTTCGTACACCCTTTCAATCTCCTTAGTCTTTGCTAACCACGCCTTACAGTAAGACGAAGTGTAGTTAAAAACCGTGGTGATGTGGGAGATGATTGTTTTCACCTTCAAAGATGGGTCATTGCTGACCAGGGGTAGGATTTCTTGACAGATGAGATCGTAGTTGAGTTTTTGGTGGTCCTGTGATTGAGTGGAACTTACACAAGTGTGGGTAGTCATGGAACCTATGACCCAACAGTCACCTCTTAATCTGTATGATGCGGTGAGCTTGAACATACAGTCAGGGTGGACACACTTGATCTTGTACCTTTCCGGGTTGACACAGTCCACCTTAAAATCAACCGAGTTGAGCATGTGGAATTTTTTTATGGCTCTGATGCATTCCTCTCTGTTACGAAACTTGTCCTTCTCTTTTAAATTTTCATCCGACTGCATATACAGATTGAAAAATAAGTCAGTAGAAGGTTCATCTCCGCCCACGTTGAAGTTTGTCATGTGCGGAGGTGGTGTGTAGATTTCGTTTGCAGGAATACTAGGGATGCCATCATCGTCAGAATCATCATTCACCAGTTCATCAAACTCTAACTCGTCATCTTCTTCTTCATCATCAACTGCATCTACCTCAGCTTGTTCATTCTCCAAAGGATCAACCTCTTGTGTCACCTGAGGCTCTCGCAGCATAACGTACAACTCAATAGAGTCGTACCCAAAATACACATGGCTGGAAAACATATTCTGGAGATCCTCGTCATCTTGAACTTCAACCTTATAAAAAATTACTTGGTTGTTTCCGAAAAAAACTGGATTCTGATAAAATATTTGGGTCACCGGGCCTCGTTCAAGTTTGGCCTCCAATCATTTTTTGAAGTACGAGAAATTGGCTTTCCCGTTTAAGATAAATCGGATGTTGTCTGTGTCTCTAAACAAAAACCCAGCGGTGGGACAAATGTATGTCTCACCGTTGAAATGTGCTTTGACGATAAATTGTGGTGCAAAGGCCATTGCGTAGAATTGTTTGAAGGTTGGAATGTTTGAATTTTATGAGTGATTCGAAGGTTGGAATGCTTGAAGTTTATTGATTGTATGAAGGTTTGAATGTTGTAAGGTTTGAAGGTTGGAATGTTTGAACTTTATGAGTTATTTGAAGGTTTATATGTTTGATTGTTTGAAGGTTTGATTGTAAGAACGTTTGAAGGTTGGAAGATTTGACAGATTAAGTGAATCAATTTTATGATAAACGTAAGACTAAAAATTTCAATTAAGTAAGGATGCAACCCCCAAGGCTGCCAATAGTGTTACATGCAAGGCATCCAAAAGGCTGTCACGTAGCCTGAGCCTAGGTTGCAACAAAGGACACCTCTTATTCGCCAATTGGGGTGGCGACACCATTCATTTTTGTACTCTTTCTCCAAGTCCAATGACGCCTCCCTTACTGTCCAATCGTGATACATGCATGCAGATATGTAACCCCCTAGGCTTCCACCTAGCCCGCGCCTACTCTGCACCTATACTGTATGTTGTAAGTCTCCTCCCATCACCTCCAATGGGGTTACATGCATTCAGGAAAGGCATCCGAAAGGCTGTCACGTAGCCTGAGACTAGGCTGCAACAAAGGACACCTCTTATTCGCCAATTGGGGTGGCGACACCATTCATTTTTGTACTCTTTCACCAAGTCTAATGGAGCCTCCCTTATTGTACAATCGTGATACATGCATGCAGATATGTAACCCCCTAGGCTGCCACCTAGCCTGCGCCTACTCTACACCTATACTGTATGTTGTAAGTCTCCTCCCATCACCTCCAAT